GGTGTGGTTTGTCGCTGTGGGAGTTCTTACTGATCGTGAGGGAGGTGGTGGAAGGGTGCCGGTGATGTTGACGGGGGATGATTTCGGGGGCTTGCATACGCGGCAGTTTCAGGGTGAGAAGGAAGGGGGGGAGGCTGATGACGGGGAGCTGCTGGCGCCGGTGGTCTGCGATTATGATGATCGTGCCCGTCACCACACCGCTGGGGTGACGGCGATCTTGCCCCTGTCCGTGGAGGTGGAGGGCGGCGCGCCGGTCGTCCTGACGGGGAGCTATGATGAGCCTTACGCGTGTATCATGCGACGCGGCGCGGGGAGGTGCTGGCGGAGGTGGGTTTGGGCGGTGGCGTGTGGCGGTTGCAGTTGCTGAGGACGGAGCATGGCGTGTTGTCTGCTGGGGAGCAGTGGAGGTTCCTGGTGCTGGCGAGCTGTATGCATGCGGGCACCAGGCTGGTCCGGGTGACGCGCACGCTGGGGGAGGATGCCGGATGGGAGATCGAGGTGTTGGCGGAGTTTACGGAGCACCAGAGTATGAACTATGCATCGGATGTGTGGAAGCCGGACGGCGGGTATGATCTGCAAGGGAAGGAGACGTCGGAGCTGCTCTGTATCTCGAGTAGTTTCTACGACCGGAGACTCTGCTTGTGGCGGGTCAATGTATAAAAAAGATAGTGTTTATTGTTCATGAAATGATGCGCTCGATAAATTCATCATGCAAGGCGACGGTATACAAGAGATAAACCCCCTAGGCAAAAGAAATCCGTGACTAAATCTATTAAATTAAACAATCGTCTCGAGTTCGCGAGCGTAGCCGATCGCGTTCTCGATGATTGCGGTGCTGGCCACCAGGATGTCCTTTTCGGACCGCGCCGCGGCCTCTGGCTCAACAGGGAAGTATATCCGTCCGTCACGAAGCACCCATCCGCGCTGCTGGGCGAACTCAATGACCGCCCCCTCCGACTCGAGGAACAGAAGGTTCTTGGCGTTGGAGATGGGGAGCGAGGGATACGCCTTCTCGGAGCAGTCGGCGATTTCACTACGGATGGTTCCAACCAGGACCTGATCAACCGGGGACAGTCAGTCTGCGCTCCAACACGGGAAAGGGAAGGAACAGGGGCACGTACATTCGAGAACAAGCCGAAATCCTCTGAAGGGACTCGCTCGGACTTGGTCTCTCTCCACACCTTATCGTAGCTGCCCTCCATCAAGTTTCGCTCCAGCTCCACCGGGTACTTAATGCATGGGTCATCCTCAATGCTCTTCCCCTTCAAACTCGCCTCCTCAACGAGACCCTCCAAGACGGTGTGGAAGCTCGTGCTGTCGCCCATGCTCAGCAACAGCAGAAGGTATAGCCCCGTGATCTTGCTGCGTTGGCTGGTCTTGAAGTCCACCTTTCCTGCATTGGCGCTATCTCGCTCCAGGTCGTAGAAAGGCTGCAGCTGCTGGTAGTAACGTGTGAAAGAGGGTGCGTCGGTTTGGCGGATGGAGGACAGAGCGCCGAGCTCTAGCACCTCCCGGGCAAGGGCAATCAGCTCCGGCGATGTCGACGATGTGGGGATGAGGGCATTCTGCAGCAGGAGGGTCCGCTTTGCGCGACTGAGAAGGTCGTTGGCAGCATCGAACTGTTTCCGATTGAGAGCGTTGTGAAGCTCTGAGACGAGGGTCCGGAGGTTGGCGCCGTTTGCCATAATGGGTCTAAATTGAGATGTAGACTGAAGGGAGATGAAGGCGAGTCGGGAAGCGAAACGGGAGTGGAGTAGGGAAGTTACGAAGAGGTTGAAGCGTACGGAGAAAGATCCGGAGTGGTTTCGTGATAGATGGTCGAGGATGGTTGACGATGACACCAGCAGTTCCAAGAGCTTCTCCAGCGCATCTCTTGGCAGAGGGTCACGTGGGTCAGGCGGTCTGCCCGATCGCCGCTTTCTATTCTTCCATGACATACAAAGAGTACAAAAGAATGATGCAGAACAGAAACAATAATAATAGCGTACCATAAAAGAAAGATGAAACTAGTTGTGCGCAGAAAGTCCGACATTCCATGGCAAGGACAGTCTAGATGACGAGATGTCCAAACAATATGTACAAAACTGGATTCGAACGACGATACATTCTAGACCTATGCTCAGGGCGAAGCGACGACTCTCCCGTCTTACTATATAGACATCGCCTGTTCAAGGAGTGTCTCATAGTAGGGTGTCCCAAGCCCCGTGACGGGATCCCACCCGGCGGTTGCATTCCAGCTTGCATACGGCACCTCCCGTCCAACGTCACCAAAACACCCTACCGACCCTCCATCAATGATGTCGGTAAACCCCGTCTGGTTGAGAGAATAGAGCCAAGGGTTGAGGAACCCCAACCGCGGCTTGTTATTTTCCAGTCGAGCTGCATTCAGCCGGGAAACAATACCAGCAAATACAGGCGCCGCAGCACTGGACAGCAGTCAGCTCCGGTTATCTGAGCAATCAACTTAGAGCGACAAACCTGGTGCCTCCAGTCTTCAGAAGCTGCCCATGGTCCATGATGATGAAATGATCCGCCTGAGCAGCAACATCGGGAATCGCCCTTCCATTGGGATTGTAAAGCGTTTCCCATCTGGACTCCAGTTGACTGAGGTATTGGTGGACACTGCCATCCTGGTAGGAAGGACGCGGGAAGTACTCTGAAAAACCACCTGTGGAGTACCCAATAGCCCGTTCGGGCTCCCTAGCGTAGGTGCCTCCCACGGACGTAACGAAAGGACATGTTGCCGGGTAAAGTGGCTGGAACCTTGTCCGATTCGTCCCGTTATTAGTTATACAAGACTCCCCGACGCCCGAATCACCGCTGCTGAAGATCACAGACACTCCGCGCGCTCCCAGCTGAGCAAACATGCTACATGTGGTTCTCGCATATATTTCGGGCACGCTCTGTTCTAGTTCACCGTAGGACGTAGTTAGGACAGCAGGCAATTCGTCATCGGGGAGATCTAACAGATAACGAAGCTGTTCAAGGTACGGCTCGTGAGGATCACCTGCGTCATGATGCCCTAATTCACGGATAACAGGGCCACGTCCGGCGGTGCTATAGAAGGTTGTGATGGGGTTATCGGCTAGCGCAGCAGCGTACTGGATGTCCAAGCTTGCCTCGGAGCTGTCCTCCAAAGAATCTTGCAAATTGAGGCCACCATTGATGAGCGCCACGGTGTAGTTAGTGTCTGTCAGATTCGGTGCATAGAGGCGCAAGAATTGATGAAAGTCACTATAGCGCGCGTACTGGCCCAGGAAACCAGATACCCCCAGCCTGTTACGACGGTCTGGCTTGGATTTAGAATCAGGGATTCCATAAAGGTCGCGGAGACAGCTAGGGGTGACTATTGATGAACAGCCTGCAACTAGGTCTTTGAGGGTGACAGGCAGCGCTTGAAGGAGTGGCGGCTCAGCTTGTGGCATCAGCTGCCCAAACCGGGTTGTTGGCTGAATCATCTGAACAAAATACCGAATATCTTTGGGCACCGAATATTTGAGAGTCCGGACGACGGTTGCTTTCGATTTCTTGTGCTCGAAGATATAGAACCGTGTCCTCAGCAGCTGCTCTGCTTGCGAAATTGAAATGGTAAAAGTAAACCAACCTGCTTGATTGTTGATAGATGTGGCAGGTATATGCGCAGCTTCAAGCCAAGAGAGGACCTTCTGCGGAGCTACGTCAGATGGATATAAGACTTTCCTGACCTCGTCACGACTCATGTGATGTCCATAGTTCTTGTTTCCTGGAGTGGAGATTTCGATGACCCTTTGTTCAAATTCAGATACTTTTTCTGGGTGTACTGCTAGCTGAAGTTCGATCGGCTTCGACGGGGAAGGCGTTCCAACATCTACCCAGTCATCTGGAATCTTGTCCAAGCGTTCAACAACAGAATACCTGGGCTCGGTTGCTAGTGCTGCGACTAGAAAGTGAAGGACCAGGGATAAGGCTCCTATAATATATGCAAGCAACACCATCTGTTGAGGCATATCAGACTCGAGCTTGGTCAACCCAGTGGAGGAACATACCGGGAGAGGGATTCATTGGAATAGCACTGGCCCTCGCACATATGTAGACGTAAGAATAGCCATCGCGTCCGATGGCTATTTAGCACCGGTGTCAGTCGGTTCAAGACTTATCACCATAATGATTAGTGCGACTAGGGAACGAGGCATCGTCGCCAAGATCCACGGCTCACCTCTTAGCGGTATGTGGTAAGTTGGTAACGAGATGGAGATTCCTTCTCCTAAGTCCATCTGGCGACTGGGAGTTTGAGCCGTGAAAGGTCCTTATTGTCTCCCAAAGAAAGCCGGTATAATAGAACCAGGGATAGTCTGTATATCTTGAACGTTGAAAGAGCTGCCGGTAGTTAGGGTTGACGGGATTAAAGTTCTTCTTTGTCTCTTCCCCTATTGACTCCCGCATTCGGTAAGGGCGGGAGATGCCGATTTATATAAAAATTAGTTGTATAAAACCTTCAATGAGTGGAGTGAGGAAAGGGAGTTGATCGTCTTTTGCAACGGAAATTTGTAGCTAAACGGATTCCCTTCTTCCCAATATTGGGCAGCTCCACATACGATCGGGAACTCCTCTTTTGGGAGCTTCTAGCGAAATCTATGCTGATAGAAGCGAGGGGAATGGATCTTACTATAAACCCCGACCATTCGGGGCAAGCAGTTTAGATTATGTCGGGCTAGCTAAGCAGAGCTGGTGAACTTGGTTACTCCTATGTAGAGGTCGCTACCAATATCGGGTTGCCGGACGCACATGGCTGGACTAGACCTTTTGCATGAGAGGCAAGGTCTACGAGTCAGATAATGCGAAGTCGTCCATATCTAAGGGAGATAGATAGGAGTCATAGTATCATCTGGCTTTGAGTCAAACAGGGTAACATGGCTATGAAGCGAGTGAATACAGACACGAGGCTGGATGTACAGGATAGTATTCCCACAGAGTGATCTGAAGAAGAGCAGGATATTAGTGGGATATGGTTGATAGAAGTTTGGATGTAGCCATTCGCAAAGAATGAGAAATCGGGATAGTTTACGTTTCTCATGTGCCTGATCAGTCTTAGAGAAATAGCTAAGCAACAACTCCCACTCATCGCCACTCTCCAAGAGGGAAGGAATTCAGCCTTGAAATAACTAAAGGAACGTATCATTCCCACTCCCACCAGTAACCAGATGCCACCATCGTCGCGAACATAGCTCGGTCTTGGAGGCGTCTATGAAGCCGTCATGGTCGTGCCAGACAATGGTCGGGTCACTCTTGGAGCAAACTCTACCAAGTTGCCGAGTCTTATATATCCAGTAACCCAAAGTAAACACAGAGGCAATGAAGGTATGGATAGCTCACGCTTTGCCCGAGGTGTGGTCTACTGTGAACTGACTGGGGAATGAAAACTCTCCACGGCCACCCCCTTCTCGATCTTATCCAAATAGCACCGTAGTTGCTCCTTCAAAGTCTGGCTATCGGAGTTTTCGAGCTTGCGTCTTGGGTTGTCGGCGTTTGGATGAGTATAAAGGTCTGAGTGCCCGGACGGATACCGTGAGCAGAACGGCTAATGCGTCTTGGGAAACCTGTCTGACTGTGTTAAGTATAGCAACCTGAAAGAAAAGACTGCGTCAGCAGGAAGGAACCAAAATGCTCTGATGGCACAGACTGGAATGGCGAAGATTGCCGGCCACCAGATGAGCCCGACTGTGAATTTCAGCGTTTGAATAAAAGAATGCATGCGTGGCTGAGGAACGTTGATGATCCGGATATTGTACGAGAGAAGGTGCTGAACAAGTGTGTCCTTCTCACTATCCTGATGGCCAAAAATCCAACCCGCCACACAGGCTGTGTGCTTCTGCTTGGTGACTGCTTGGAGTTTTGATGCTGCCCTGTCATCACTAGCTTTGCATTGTAAAAGTTTGCTGCTGATCTAACTGCATCGTAGGGGAGGCCCAATGATAGTAGACTGCTGCAATAGGGGACCTTGCTGTTTTGTGTTTTGTGTGGGGTGGCCTCTCTTCGTAGGCTTGGACTAAGAAATTTGGGTTATGGAAAATACGGAGTCTTTGGTTTGGTTAGGGTCTGGATCCCCTATTTTTCTTGAAAGAGCTATACTGGGTCACCCACCGGAAGAGGGTGAGGAAAAGTGGATGCAGGGCACTGATGTAGAGACCTGGATATCTCTTTTTCTCCTAATGGCGCAGTCTCACCACTGTAGTATGTTCTACTTCATAATTTTGAACCTCCGCCGCCCATGCGTGGAACTGTATACTAAGAGTAAGCCCTATGAGACGGACAACTCAAGTCACTTCGTGATACCCTTAGTCATGAGGGGTAACTAATTATGTGGATCTCTTGACTTTATTTCATTCTAATCTCCTCTGTGCCTTCCAACCCCAGTCTTCCTTTGCCAATCCAATAAGGCAACCATAGCGAGTACATCCTATAATCTAGTATAATTATTCTCTGACTGTGACAGACTACCTGACTACAGACTACAGTAGCCATCCCTCATGGCAGCATCACCTAACCCCACCACCCAATACACCTCAGAACAATTCGTGGAAAGCTGCGGAGCCATCCTATTCGACCTATCCTCCGAGAACAAGACCGTGTGTCTTATCCATTACCACGCGAAGAACGAATGGCTCCTTGCCAAGGGACGTCGCAACTGCGGTGAATCCCGGCACGAGGCCGCCCTACGCGAAGTCCACGAAGAGACGGGCTATCAAGCCCGCCTCCATCCCGTCACGATGCATACTCGTGCGCCGCCGATGGACGAACAGGGACACATGCCAGACAAGCCTCGCTCTTACCCAGCTCTCACCGAGCCTTTCATGGTCACCATGCGGCAGTTAGGTGGTGAGGGTGTTGATGAGATCAAGATTATTTGGTGGTATATTGCTGCCCTGGATGGAGGGGCGGTTGCGGGGTCTGCTGGTCCGGCGGAGGAGGAGTTTACCCCAGAATTCTTTTCTTTGGGGGAGGCGGTAGAGAAACTCAGCTTCGAGAATGATCGGGCTGTTCTAAGGAAGGCGATTTCTTTAGTGGAAGCTCGTTGAATCAGCTATTTACCTTGTCTGTGTGCCTTGTGTGGAAGCTGAGTTGATACAACGGGTGGATGACGCGGGTTAGAACATCTACTGGGGTTAACTAACTAGTTACATGAGGGATTGTAAAGACTATCAATGGGATGAATTCGTTTGAATGTTGTCTATCGGAGGATCTCTGGCCCAGACATCAGTTCCTACCAAGCTCGAGAAACATAGACAGCACTTGCTAGCTATCACTAGCAGCGTCGTAGTACGCTAGTACCATACGAGAAACCCTTGAAGCAAGCCACAGAGCCCCTGAACCTGTCAGCTAATACATCCGAAACATGGAAGTGCCCTGCGACCAACCCATAGTTCGCATTTCGAGTCCATCACAGCCCTAATTCTCCACAACTGACATCTCGGCCCGAGCACCTACTCTCGGAAGGGTCTCAATGGCATGAGGCGTAAGAAGGAAAATTCTTCAAAAAACACACATCACACCGCTAGACAGCTCTCGCTGATAAAACCTACACAATTACTGGTCGGGTTTCGCTCGCGAGGTAAAGTGTTTCGTAAACCCCTGCCGGCTATTTTTAGCCGGCGTCGTTCGGGGGGATCCACAGCAGTACCAGACATCGTGGTTTCGGGGAACGGTCGGGGCCCTAGGGCTCCGTGAGAATCAATCTTCCGGGTGCTCTATACCAGACGTCAGTCTTCCCGATGCATCCCCGGTACACCGATGGTGATTGACATGGCATGTAGGAGGTGGATGTTCATCGTTACTGTAATCGATCGGTGTAGGGGAATCGTCGGTTCTGGCGATGGACATCATGAGGTGTGAATCGCAGGTATAGTAGTTAGAAGCAGGTATAAATACACTTCTAGAGACTCTTCATACCCTCATTAAACAAACTACATCAATCACTTGATATCCAAGTCTTCCAGTTCTCAAAAACCTCTACAACAATGCGTTTCACCATCCTTGCCGCTCTCGCCTTTGTTGGCGCTGCCCTTGCCACTCCTCAGGCTGCTAAGGTTCGTCAACAGTCTCTCAATATCATGGCCCTTTCGTTGTAACATACTAATCGACTTGTAGATTCCCGCCGGCCAGCCCTGCAAGCAAGATGGAAGCATGGGGATCTGCGAAAGTGGTCTTTGCGTGGTACGTTGCATAGTCCTCAACATCGTCAAGGACACTCTTTGAATCCGTAGCTAACCAACACACGCGAATAGCAAACCCCCAGCCAGGCCCAGGGCGTGTGCCAGTGAGCTCTGATATAGGGGAATGTGGTCCAGCGCTCGTTGCCTCCTGATGTCACTCTGACAAGTTGGACAATGCTCTTTTCGGTGTATCTAGATTTCATGGTCGTTAGCAGTTGTTGATTTGGCCGTGCCGCTCATTTGAATAAGAACCAGAACTTGTGTGCTTGTCAAATATTCTTCTTTCATCTTTGGGTTTTATCAAGACCTTGGATTTCATGTAGACCACGTAGGGGAATTGTCTGCGGCAGGAGACGGCAGGCTTCATAGACATATAGCTTTCATGGAAGAAGTGGGAATTGTTGGATATACAGTGGTTGTAGAGGGCAGTATACGTTGAGTACTACTATTACCTGATGTCGATATCAACCCAATCCACGTACAAATTTAAGAATGTTATTGATTTCTGAAACATTTAGATACAGACCGTGCAGAAGTAGTAAATATGTACAACATGTTAATATGTATCTTATAGAAACGTGGTATCTGGCATTGTATTACATATGAAAAACCTTCGTGATTCCATCCCAAGATCAACAGATCCAGCTCATGCAGAGCTAAACGGCTGTATATCAGCTCCACCCCCGAGAAAGAAGGTTGAATCCCCGTAAGATAGCTCCAACATAGGAAATGACGGGTCAAAAGAATGGTTGTCCAAGCCTGCCAGGATGCCTGTGCTCCAAGTAGAGCTGGTGTTTAACCAGTGGGGCGAGTTGGAGTCGTGAATTACATCTTGACAAGAGGTCCCCTGCTGCGAGGGACTTGTCTGGGTGGCCAGTGCGGTAGAGCTTTCTTCATTGAGGAAGCGTTGAGAGAGCGAGACAAACTCCTGGAAGAGTTTCTGCAGATTGGCGATGTGCTCGCTGGCTGTCCCGCTCTGGGTTAAGCAGTCTGCGACTGTCTTCAAGAGGTTGAAATCTCCGATGTGGGATGTGACCACGGCGTTACAGAATAGCACGAAGACTGCCGTCAAGGGGTAGTAAAGGAGGGTCCTGAAAGATGTTAACACCTCGTCTTATATGTCTGTAGTGGGGGTGTCACTAACCAATGCAGGAAGGCAACAGTGCTCTGCTTGTTGGCTGATAGGCATATTGATACTAAGGCCGAGAGCTCCTGACGTGCTGAATCGAGGTACAGATCCTTGGCAGTAAGGGTCTGCCCTGGGGTAAGTTGAATCAGATGGAGGATGGTTGTCATGACCGAATGATAGGCAAAATCAAGAGCTGCGATCTCACTGTGGCTATCTAGGCCTTTCCAACGATCAGAAGGCGATGCCATCTTGAAGCAGAGTCAGCATCTATGAGATTCAAACGAGACTGGGAAGTTGACTTACCTGGTCGATCCGGCTGCGAATATCCTCCATTCTCGGCAGTAATTGCTCTCTTAAGTTAGTTACGGGCGGGGCGGCATTCTCGCCTTCTGCTGATGAGGGATCCTTGATGAAAGGTATTATTCCGTCCTGGATCTGGGCCAAGTCCAGATATAGTTGGAGCATCTCTGACATTGGTGGATTCAGCCTGGCAGAAGCGTGCAAGATCCCTCCAGGGGTGGCTTCCAGAAAACCCTTAGACCGTCCAAGCTTCCAAGTATAGTTTCTGTCCAGCATATAGCACCATATAAAGCAGAAAAACTCCTCCTCGCTGATAGCCCGTCCATTTGTAGCACTGGTGTTGAGGCCAATATCGGTACAGATCCGGCAGGCAGTTCTGGTCAACTCCCAGCAGAAATTGGTATCTCCCGATCCTTGGAATAGAAAGGTCTAGAAGTGGTTAGAAACTAAAGCATGCAGAGATCTTCATAGAACTCACCCCACAAAGCACTGCCTGTAGAAGTGGAAGCGATGGAGTAGTCACGAGTGGGATTTTTCTTAATGCTGCCTGTGCTGTCGCTCGGTATTGTAGCGCATTGTGCCATAGCCTTTGAGACAGCTCCCCATGCTCTTCTGTCATCAGTATTGTAGTAAGAAACTTGTACGCTATAGAGTTAACGCAGACAGTGTAGAGGATTGTATCAGATGGCGATGCATCTTTGCGTAGCAGGGACATTCCCATCTTCTCAAGAGTCTGTTTGGATACGTGCCGGAAATAGTCCCGAACGTATGGTCCAAAAAGATCAGTGCCGATGTCTAGTTTGATCAGACGAACCAGAAGTCAGCCACTACCACATTATTACAGAGGCAAAAGGGAAGGCTTGAATACCTTTAAGCATCCATGCCAGAAATTCAGGGGCCGGAATTTTCCGTTGCTCTTCACTCTGGTCGTCGACATTAAGCGGTCTCTTAAAACCTCCCATGGTTTCGGTAAATTGACTTGCAGCGTACAGTGCAGACTCCAGTACCTGCAGTCTGTTCCAAGCAAGGCCCTGAACTCGACTCAGCCGGTGCCGGCTTGCCATCTGCGCATCTGTAAGGGGAACGATAGAAATCCAGCTATGGAGTTCATATGCCATGTGTGGACGATTGGCCAGTATAGGTCCGACTTCCGGCATCTCCATCGGTAAGCTATCATTGTCCGCCTCGGAAGGGAGTGAATAAGCATCGGTTTGCTGATCCAGTAGACCGCGGAGCGAGCCCAGCTCAGGCACCGGGTGGGTGGAAGTCCGAGATGATTTAGTTGCGTTGCTTGGTCTGTCACTTGGACGGGATATTTTTCTCATAGTACGTCTCATACTGCGGTGGCGAGTGCATGTAGTTCCTTGATCCTGGCAGTTTCCGCAAGGATTCTTCCTGTCACATCGGACCTGGGCAGGAGATCAGCAAAAGAACACCAATCAGGCAGTAAGGCACTTTTCCAGTTCCTACCTTGCGGGAATGGCAGTTGTCACACTGTTCGAACGTGTTAGCATGCCCCCAGATTTCAAACTATGCCGGGTATTCGTACCACCTGGTGTGACGCAGGACGTCGTTTCTCGACCAACGGATGCTCCATGCTAATTATTAATAGACGTCAAGAAAGCGAGTATCTGACGGCGGGACAGAAGAACTCTGTTGTCAGGTATCGGTATCCCCTCTTCACTTATATGGGAACAAAGTACAATCTAAGTTTTTCCGATTTCCGCCAAGCACCAGAGGAAAGTCACTACGAGACGGCGCCGCCTGAAGCATGCCAAGCCGCTGGTTTGAATGGAGTAGGCGAGAATCGACAAATGGCTGAGCGAGGAGAACCCAGTCTCGGCAATGAAGTATTAATAGCGCACATCTCCAGAACTTTTATGCTGCCTGGTAGGGCTTATCCGGTATCTTTTTTTTTATCACTTTTATCAATTTTCAGGGGAATCTTCAGGGTCTGCGCCACGAGAACGTGGCGATGCGGACGATAGTCTACCAATAGGGTCGCTCGGAGCCCAATTTAAGTACGGAACTTAAAACTTTGATGGCTATTTTTACTCCAGCTATTGAAAATGGACTATTTAGAATACCTCGAGTTCTCGTTACCGTTAAAGGTGGAATCTAGCTTCTACGACGCGGCAAAGCTGTCTCTTATGCTGAGCTCTTATAGTGCGGTCTCTGATCCGAAACGCTATAAAACAAGAAAGCTGGTGGGTAGTGGGGCTTCGTGAGGCACGATGATGTGGAGATGGTACTCGACCCTCAGCACTATAAATTGAGCGCGTAGGGTACCCACAGCTTTGGTAGACAGTTCCCACTGCTCTATAGAAGTGTGTAAATATCGCCAATCAATTGAGGTAAGGTCTTTGGTAGCCACCATATATA